ACTGCTGGCGACCCGGGTTCGGATCCCGGGCTCGCACCGACGCGCTGCTTCTCCGGCCATGCTGAGGCCGCGTCCCACATACAGCAACTAGAAGGCTGTGCAGCTATGACACACAACTATCTACTGGGGCTTTGGGGGGAAAAAATAAAAAATAAATAAATAAAATCTTTAAAAAAGGAGTTATGTTAAATTATATTGTCTGAAGCTCTAAAATTTTCTTCCATATTGCAAATAGAATAGAATTTCTCAATCACTAGCAATTTAAGTCTTTAAAAGGAATAAACAGAGGGTATTTGAGAACTCTCTGTACTTTCCATTCAGTTTTGCTGTGATCTAAAACTGCTCTAAAAAATAAAGTTTATTAATAAAAGAAAAAAAAAGAAATATAAAGGAGTACCTTGCTTAAAAAGATGGACATTTCTGGAAAAAGTTGAGTGTAAATTAAATTTCTATCATACTTTACCATTAACTTACCTCATAATTCAGGAGTTAACCCATTTTTATTTCTAGTGCAGACCTAAGTTTCTGAGTCATTTTCCAAGTATAAAACCATGAAATTTTAAGTATTTAATAGAACCTTGTGATCAATCCTTTTTTAAGTCAAAGGAACTATAAAGTAATGTTAATAGTCATTTCGCTAATTTATTTAACATAAGTTTAGATTTTTATATTTCATATTGTTTTAGCATGTAGATAATTTGGCTTGAATTTTTAGTGTTCATGTTGACATGCAGTGGTATTTTGCCACACTAAGATTTTAATTTAATATATTCATTGCAATATATTTTCTCTTATTTGCTAGTAATATGGCTTTTTTAGTAGCTTTATTGAGATATAATTCACATACCATACAATTCAGCCATTTAAAGTGTACAATTAGTGGTTTTTAGTATAGTCACAGTTTTGCAACCATCACTATATTGTAGCTTTATTGATTTACTTTTTGTAAATAGAAAAATCCGAATGGTATAAAAGAATTGGAAAACCTGGCTTACTAATCTTGGCTCTGCCCAGCTGTGAGCAAATCTTTGGGCCTCTAGCCTTTGAAATGCAAAAATTGCGCCATTCATTTTCTTATTCAAAAGACAACTGTTTCTTCTCTGTGTATGCCAGAGGAATAAAATAACACCACATTGCTTGTCCTGGAAGAGCCCACAGTGCAACAGGTAGATAATTAATAAGTTTTCATCCAACTCTAATGTTCATTGTTTCTTCTCAGTCCTCAAAGGGTGACCATTTAGAAAAATTAGGCTTTCTGATCATTTGTAATGAAAACTTCTACGAAAGTGTCATTTGGTTAGTGGTTGAGTATTTCAAGACTAGGTAGGGCTGTGTTCTTTGTAACTGTAACTTCACTCTTTGCAATTCAAGTACTGTCTCCATGTGACCTGTATTATAGAGACCACATGTGACTTTCTCTTTTTCTCTATCTTGAAAGGTACTCACAAATCTCTTGAGCTGGGCTTTTGAAAGTCGCTTCAAGCGTTGCCCCTTCCTCTCTTCAGTAAAGACTTTCTCCTTGGCAGTAGTGCTAATGCTATCTATGCGGTTCAGGTCGGGGCATTCCCAGTAAGACACAAACAGCTATTCACAAATCTGAGGGCTTTCTTTTTTTCTTAGGCCTCTCTGGCAGTGTCCCAAGAGTTCACTGGCTTTTCATTCTGAACAACAAATAACAGTGCTGCTGAGACAAGTTCCTAGTTCACCTCACGCTGGAGAACCAGATCAGCACAGTAGCAGAGTCTTCTGAATTGACATTTTTCCTTTGAGTAAGGATGCTTTTATTTTCACTCTCTTAACCTTAAATAGCAGACTGCTTTTCTGCAACCTAAGTAGAACAATTTTCTTGGAGAACAAGAGGCATTTCATTAAATAGGAAGATTTCCCCAAGCTCACGCTTTTCTTTGCATCTTTCATTTGTTATTGTCTCAAAATAGCTTCTCTTTTCATTGAGTTTCTGTAAAAGCCACCAGAAAAAAGAGAGGATGAAGAATTATTGAGCAGGACCTGGAGGTAAAGAGGCTTCACAGGCTTGTGGAAGGAGCTCTGGACAAATCAGGGACCTTTGTCCTCATCCAGTGTGCCACTGCATCTTGTGGGGAAATCTTTTAACCCTCGGTGCCTCAGATTCCCTGTCAGTAAGATGAGGAAGTTGCCCTCCTAGATCCATGATTCTGTATGGAATACAGGTTTGGGAAAGTTATTCAAGGAATAAACACAGGAGTTATTTTAGGATCCCACCATTTGTTTTAATCATCTTTCAAGATAAGAAGTTAACCAGAACAGACCCCTAACTGAATGCATGAGAATAATTCAAAATATTTAGAGCTGGATTTACCAAGTATAAGGGTGTTACCCTGATTTTTGCCATCAACTCATTATGCAGCCTTGGGCAAGTCATGCTACTGGGCTGCTCCTTGGTTTTGCTTTCTGCAGATGATTGCAATAATACTAAACTCACCCAAATACTGAAAGGCTTAATTAAGGACTAGTGAATCCTTGTAATTACAAAGGAGGAGGTAGTAATATTGAATAAAGTGGCTTACTTACCATATGAGAGGTTTTTATGTTATAAATAAATATTCACTTAGAAAAAAAGTAGGGACAAAAGTAAAGAATTTAGGTTCTTAAGCCTGATTTATAAAATAGTTATGTTTTATAACGTTGCTTTTTACAATTAAGAAAAAAAAGAAGAAACTATACTTTGAGATATACGTCATTCTCTTTCCTTGCTGTCTGATAGAATTTTAATTTGGAGTTTCTCCTAGTGTATGTGTCTTTTATGTGTCATCTTAATTTTGTCAGAAATTGTCTCTATTTGACAAATAAAAGGCAACTTAAGCCCTATTTTCTAGAATAGGAGGACAATTTGGTGACAGCACTAAATGGTTTAGATGTGGTGGATACATTTCAGATATATGTGAGTCCTTATTAGAGACTTCTAGACCCTTTCCTTTAGAAAATCAGTCAGAAGCAGCATGATGGTTTAAAAAGATTACGGCGGGAGTGTCAATTGGCACAACCACTCTGAAGAGCAATTTGGCAATTCTACTTCCAAGTATTTACCTTAGAGCAGTGGTTCTCAAAATGTGGTCCCTGGACTAGCAGTATCAACATAACCTGGGAACTGGTAAGAAATGTACATTTTCAGACCTCACCCAGGCCTGCTGAATCAGGAACTCTGGAGGATGGGCCTAATAAGATGTTTTAACAAGCCCTCCAGGTGATTCCGATGCTCGCTAAAGGTGAGAACCTCTGGCCCAGAGAGACTCTTGCATTGTGCACCCAGCAACACACGAGGAAGCTCTCTTCAGCTAAGAGTTCATATGCAGTATCTCATTTAATCTTCCCAGCAATCTTATGAGCTTGATTCTAAACCCCATTTTACTGATAAAGAATTATGCCGTAGTCACAGAGCTAGAAGGAGATGGAGCTGGGACTTGAACACATTCTCTTAAGTACAGTGCAGTCTTTAAAACCGATAATCTCGGAGCAGACTAGAGCAATTTTTGGGGAAATTTTAATGGATTCGGGGCAAGTCAACAACAGCAGTTTCTGCTCTGTATTCAGGAGAAAAATCCTTTTTATTGATTAAGGCATTCACTTGTGCGTTAGGTACTTTACATTTATTATCTCATTCAGTCTTTATAACAATTCTTTGATGCACGTCTGTTATCCACATTTTATAGATGAGGACTTAAGTTCAGAGAAGTCAAGTAATTTGCCCAGATTCACACAGCTAGTAAATACCTGGACTTGAGCCCATACCTGTCCCTAAAACCTATGCTCTTTGTGCTGTAGCTAATTTTCCTTAGTCAAATTCAAAATCAGTTCAAAATAGAGCACGAACTGCTCAGGTTATGTATGGATAAGAACAGAGGTGAGTTCTAAATAAAGAAGTGAAATGCCTTTGTCCACCATAAAATTAAGTGAAGAACAATGAGGTTATAAAATAAAAAAATATTAAATTTCCCAAAGGACATTTATTCCATTTCTGCTGACTTCTTTTACAAAACCCATGGAAAATTTCTTCATTTAAGAGAAATATTTAGGGGCCGGCCCGGTGGCACAAGCAGTTAAGTGCACGCGCTCTGCTTGTTCGCCGGTTCGCCGGTTCGGATCCCGGCCGCGCACCGATGCACTGCTTGGCAAAGCCATGCTGTGGCAGCATCCCATATAAAGTGGAAGAAGATGGGCACGGATGTTAGCTCAGGGCCAGTCTTCCTCAGCAAAAAGAGGAGTATTGGCAGATGTTAGCTCAGGGCTGATACTCCTCACACACACACAAAAAAAGAAATATTTATTTTGTTTTCTGTGTCATGATTTTTCTAATTTTGGCATAAAACAGGAAACTCGGGTTGCTTATCAGAATAATAATTATTTCATATCAACTGGCCTAATACTCCAAGATCTTCAGGGCTAAAGGTTTGGGACATCTCCAGTGCATGTGTAAACACATAGCTTGACCAATACTCTGCTTCTGGAATTTTTCTTCTGAATGTTCTGCTTTTTTCAGGTAAAAATCATAGCAATGAGTGAGAATGTTGCTCTGAGGTCAGCCCTTGATAAAAATCTGAAGAGTGCTGTGACGGCTGCTTTCCTTATGCTCCCCGAAAGCTTTTCTGAAGAAGACCTCTTCATCGAGATCGCCGGGCTCTCCTATTCAGGTTAGTAAATTTGATGCCCATATCTTCTGCAAGAAGGAGATCTGTTGTTTGAAAACCCTGCAAACATCCTGCCGCCTCACCCTGCACTGGAGCTGCAGCAACCGTAGTTCTGAATCCCATCACTTCCTGTGTAGGTTATTGCAGGAACCTTGTGATTTGCCTCCTTGCCTCCAAGGTCTCTTCCTTTCCACATCTGTACATAGATTACCCCAGGGTAATCTTTTTATTGTTGTTGTTAATTTTTATTTTGAAACAATTTCAAACTTAAAGTTTCCGTAATAATAAGACAACTCTCATATACCCTTTCTCCAGATTTACCAATTTCAACATTTCATCACATTTGTTTTAGTATTCTTTCTGTATCGGTGGTTTTCAAGCTTTAGTGTGCATCAGAATCCCCTGGAGGCTTGGTAAAACAGACTACTGGGCCTACCCCCAGACAACTGATTTAGTAGGTCTGGGATGGGGCCCCAAAATTTATATTTCTAGGAGGTTGCTGGGTGATGCTGATGATCCTCCAGGGATCCCACTTTGAGAACCACTGCTCTCCTTGTATGTGTAAAAACACTGTATTATGTATTTTTTTCTGGACTATTTGAGAGTAGGTCACACATAGCATGTCCCCTTTAGACCATATTCTTCTCTATGTTTCCTAAGAACAAGGACATTCTCTTACATAACCGCAGTACAGTATCCAATTCAGGAAGTTTAACATCAATACAGTGTTTTTATCGAATTGATGATCCATTTTCCAAATTATTGTCCCAATAATGTCCTTTATAGTATTTGTTTCCCTCAGGTACATGGTCCAGTCAAGGATCATGTATTGTATTTAGATGCCATGTCTCTTTTCTCTTGTAATCTGGAACGCTTCCTTTGTCTTATATGACATTCACATTTTTGAAGTCTACAGACCAGTGACGTTAGCATCCTGATAAGCAGGGTCTTCTCCCTTCTAAGCAGTCTTTGGGGAGACATTTGAAGATCATGCAAATATGTTGCTTCTTATCAAACTTTCCCTCCTAAGGTTGAGCATCCATTAATGATTCTTGCTTGAACCGGTCTGACTATGATGGTTACAAAATGGTGACCTTCCAACTCTCTCTTCCTCCACATTAAGGAAAAGCTTTCCCTTCTTCCCCATTCATTTATTTATTTATCTAAAGATTAACTTTGTTTCCCTTTCCCCTTAAATCGGTTGTGTTCCTCAGAGATGTCAGGGGCCCCCTCCAAGGGCAAGGAGAAAGCTGAGAGGATAGAACCCCTGCCTCACCCTTGCTGCAACCAGAGGAGTGCTTGCTGATCTGTTCAATATGTTAAGGATCCATGTAAAATTTCATTTACAAAAAAGTAGTCTGCTACTTAAAAAATAGTTTGAAAACCACTATCTTAAATAATTATCCTCTTTCCCAACTTTTAAGTGTGAGTCGAACTCTATGCTCAAAATATTGCAGAAGCAGTTTACTCATTTTCTGAATCTCTGTACAGATAAGATTTCATGGAAATGTAATGCTGAAAGAGACCTTAAAGGTCTTGTTCTTCAGTCTTTCCCAAAATGCAGCTAGCATGACCACAGCTGTAATTGCAACACTGGGGAGAAAGGAAGTGGAATAACCTCAGTCTTTGGTTGCTTCCAGCTTCACGTGGCAACATCCCTGCCTTTCAGCAAAGGGTGGAGGGGCAAAGAGTGGTGTGGCTGTGTACCAGAATGAATGGGCCTGCATGCGGCATGTGGGAAAAGGGGGTCTCTTTGTTAGGGTCATTCCCTCCCCACACTCCCCTGTGGAAAAAGATGGATGGGAGCCTTTTATTGACTTTGTGGGAGAAGATGCCGGACTCTTCTCTACTTTGCCCGCAACACTACCACTTGTCTGTTTTTTCCCGCGTAATCAACATCAGCATAGTGTTAGGTGGAGTCTAGGAGTTCTCTATAAATTCTGAACATTGATTAAAGAAGTTTATTGACTCACATAACTGCTTTTACCTATTTTCAGACCTTAAGTTAGCATTTAAGGTGCTATCAATCTTTAGCTGATTTTTGCTTTGCCTCCTGGAAGGACTACGTTTTATATTCCTGGTTTAGCCTGGGCTGTGAGGCATGCACAAATTGTTCAGTAAATACTTGCTGACTCATAACAGAATCATCCCCTGTTTAGTTTCTTTTATAATATTTATTAAGGGCTGCTGTATAGTAACACAGTACCAGACGCAGATAAGTAGGTAAGTAGGTAGGTGCGTAGATAGATAGATCGTTTATTCCATCATTGAATCCTCGCACAACAGCCCTATTTATTCAACAGATATTTATTGTGTGCCTTCCACATGCCACACTGTGCTAGGCCCTAGGTGTACCCTAGTGAACAGGACACGAGTGAAACTCCTCGTGGAGTTTATCTTCTTTTAGGAGAGTCAGACAATAAAGAAGCAATAAAGTAATTTCAGTGCTGTGAAGAGAAGAAAATGAATCAAGATGAGGGCAGGGCTGTCTTTACAATGGATAGACAGGAAGGGCCCTCTGAGGTGATGATAGCTGAGCTAAGATCTAAATAGTGATACGGAGTCAGCCCTGGGCTGTTGGGAGAAGAGCAGTCAGAGAAAGTGAGTTGCTCCCTAAGAGCCCAGTTTCAGACCTTGGTGTGTCTGACTCCAGCTTTCTCAGCCTCCAGTCTCTCCCATTTCTCATCTAGTCTCCTCTTGTATTCTTGCCATTAGGTTTTTTTATTGCTTAACCCTGATTTGGATCTGAGAATTTGGCCAAATATCCTACATTACTCATTTCAGTGAGGTTGGCTTCTTTTTACTGCAAAACTTAGAACACAGTACTTGGCAAATCCTCTCTAGAGGGAACTGATTCCAACTCTGTGCAGTCCCTAGCTCATGAATGAGACATTTTCCAACACGTCTTCTATAAGCCGGTTGTTTAGAACTGGGAACATATTTTCCCATTGAAACAACGTTATGCGTGATGGTGTTCCTAAGGCAGGACACGGTATAATTAATGGTTACCTAGTCCATAATATGATGGAACTAGACTGGAATAGTGAGGCCAGGGAAGGATCTAGGCCCTGCAGGTGAATATCTTTCCTAGGAATGAGACTTGCCCCAGGTGATGTGTTGATAAGGCAAGCTTTTCCTCCTGCCTTTCCTAGGCTTCTGAGAACCCAGTATCCGAACTGATGGGCTTCTATGCCTTTGACAAACCACCCAAACCTCCCAAGCTCTCAGAATATTCCAAACTTCAAATTATCCACCAATCTCATTTTCATTTACTTTGACATTTATTTTCCACCTATTTCTAGTTGAGAGATAATATGTTGTCCTTAACCTGTGAAGTTCAACATTTCTCCCTGGAAGGGTGGGGAGAGGGGAGGGAGGGACAGAGAAAGCAGTGTCTCTCCATGTTATTGGACAAGTGCCTGCCAGTAATTACTGGCAGAGGCAAGATCTATCGGTATTACTAATAGTGATAATAACCCCTTACGTTTTATGTAGTATTTAAGGCTCACGTTGACTGCCCTGGGTCAGTATTTATGGCATTACTTGTTGGAAAGGATGGTGAGAAAGGAGTAGGTGGAAGATGAGAGCCTGCAAAATTGGGGAGGAGCAAAGCTTTTCTAATTCTTCAGTTATTCTTAGAAGTCAACATTTAAGTAAGCAGAAAAGGAAAGCCAAATGAACTTTAAAGGGTCACCTTGAACTTTCTTATGTAAATACAAACTATTAACCTGATTAATTTTAGGTAATGAGCCTGGTTTAACATTTATCAAGTGAATCAGCGTCCCATACCTTTTAAAGAATTGAAGATGTAATTTCTGCTCTGAGGAACTTCACATTAACAAACACACGCAGTCACAGTGAGTCAGTGGTAGACTTAAAACGAGCAGCTGTGGAAAAGGCAGGGAGTGTGAAAGAGCATGGCCTGTTTAGGGAAGAAGGAGTAGATTGATGGGACTGAAGTTCATGGCTTTTGGCAGAAGAAATAGCATTTATTATTGTGTGCCAGAAACAACTCGCAATACTTTTGATGTGATAACTGGTTTTGTTATCCTTGTGACAACCCTTTGATTCAGGTGCTGTATTATTGCCCCATTTTACAGGTGAGAAAACTGAGGCCCAGAGCAATTACCGGTCTAAGGTTACTTGTCCAGCATGTTGGTAGGTAGTGGAGCTGGAATTTTAGCCCACACTTTTAACCATTTAACTTCACTGCTTGTGGTATTTTGGAGAAGAGGTTAGACCCAGGCCAGGTTGAGTAGGGCATTGAATACAAACTTAAAAGATATTGGAATTTGACAACCTGTACACAGCTAGGAGCCATAGAAGGTTTCAAGCATGCCAGATGGTCTGAGATTTGTTGTTGTAGAGAAATAATTTTGCCAGCACTGTGCAGGAGGCAGAGAGACCAAAAACGGAAAGGTTTTATTCATTCAGCAGATAATTACGGGTCTCCTATGCCAAGCACTCTTCTAAGCCCCCAGCATCATACTTCATTGATAGTTGGTGCTCAGAAAATGATTGCTGTTGTGACTTATTACTAGTATCATGTATTATTGTTGGCTACATAGGTTTTCCTCAGGTTGAGACACCATTATTTGTTCATTCTTTCAGTGATTGGTGGACACTCAGGTTGGCTTCCTGTATCACTGTATTGTTTATGACACTGCTATGAAATTCTGTGGACAAATTACTTTGGTAGGGAGAAGGGGGAGAAGGGTGGTACTAACTCCCTTGAACATATTCTCCAAAATGGAATTATGTTGTCAGTTATAAAAATTAAAAAACTTGTTACATGTTGACAAATAACTCTTGTCAAAATTAGCAGAATACTTATATCAGGTAGATTGAAACTTGACAGCCCAGATTCATTTGGCCCTTTATGGTCCTTAAGGAGTGCAAAACACCTTCCAGCACTCTCCTGTAAGAGAGAGAATAGGTTTCTTTCAATGCCAGACTGTCTGAACACAGGCTCAGCTCCTTCTAGGAATAAGACAAAGCAGTGA